GTTCCACATGTGTGTCAATGCTGAGGGGGGTGTTCTGGACCAGTCTAGTTTAGTCGCTGTGGACTTTAGAAGTCACTCGTTCAAATGAATGGAGCTTGTGCAGCTGACGCATGCACAGATATGTTTTTTCACATTTTCCAGCCCCCGCGGTCATTTTGAATCACTCCACGAGAGCCAACTGTTTGGCCCATTAGTTAGAACGGCGGAGATAGGCGTGACTATGTCTGTTAATATTTACAGGCAACAGTGAGAAAGAACTGGTAAATACATGTTTGAATGCCAAAGGTTGTCTGAAATTAAGGTGTAAGTACAATCTAAACAGATGTACTGCTGTGGAGCTTCCCCTGGAGCTTAAGTCCCAACTTTTTATTATTTACAGCTAAACAAATCACAGAAAAGACAATAAATTCTCTATTTATTGGCAGTGTTCAGAAAAGATAAAATAAGAGATCTATTATTTGTCCTATGGGGAAAGTTCAATGTTGCAGCGCACAGTAGTAAAAGCACACTTTGAAAGTTAAGTTTGACTCAAAGATTACTCCAGATATTGAAATAGTTGGACCACCTCTGATTACTCTCCGTTGACCAGAACAGATGCCGTTCACTCCCTCCGGGCTTTTTGAAGAGAAGATTTGAGGAGAGCCCTGCGTCCAATCAATAATCTCTTTCATAGATATTTACTTTCCCGAATTGTCAGCCACTGCCGTTTTATTTGAGTGTTTGCAAAAGCTGTAATTTGGACCAAAACGTCTGAATCGATCTATAATTGTGTTTCGTAGATGCTGTCAACCAATCACAGCTAATTACTGCGTTTTAAACCCACTGCGGGTGATTTCTATTGGTTTGAATGTTGAAAATGGTTCTTTGTGTGTTTTTTCCAACTTCGTGACCAGCAAAGACAACATAAAGAATGCAGAGGAGATTAAACACACACACACACTATTGAAACAGAGGCAGGGTAAAAAAAAGTCCTGAACTACCTTGTTATGATTGCATTCTTTCCGTACAGAGATTTATTCACTGTACGGCTCCAATCCATTTCTATCCAGAGCAGTACTCTTCAAACTCATGTTGTTGGCATGTTCTCCCTGTGTGGGGTTTGCTCCAGGTGCTCCGGTTTCCCCTACCACTAAAAGCATTTTACACACAATAGGTCTGAATGCAATGAGTGAGTGAATGGATGGTGTTTGGTCAGAGGCTTTGATGGTCCAGTAGTAAGTAATCTTTATTTATATACCGCCTTTTCACTGCCAATCGGAGTCTCAAAGCGGTTTACAATTGTTATTTTTGGGAGCGGGGTCGCCAGTACAGGAGGCACATGCCAGAACTATTGTACATATTTTTAGTGGTAGGGGAAACCGGAGCACCCGGAGGAAACCTGCGCAGACACGGGGAGAACATGCAAACTCCACTCAGAAAGGTGGAGAAACCCTGGTCCAACTGGGATTCGAACCCAGGACCTTCTTGCTGAGAGGCGAGAGTGCTATCCACTCAGCCACCGTGCCGCAGTGTGATCGGCGTCTCGCTTCTGTCATCACCGTGTGTAGAGAATAGAAAAATATCTGAAATTTCAACAATTGTAGAGCGCTTCGGGTGACCTCGTTCTGTAAAAGCGGTATATATTTAAACATTACTTACTTACTGACTCTTATGTTCAGAATATATCCTTCAGGTTCTGCTCAGAGTCGTGAGGCGTGAGAATCATGACAAATCAAGTCTTAAAAGCTCAAAAAGTAAATGTTTTGTATCAATATGTTTCCATGTGACATAGGGCTGTATAAACATGAATTAAAATCAACCGAAAATAAATATCTATAAATTGTTCTAAAAGTTTTTCTTTATACTGCCTGTAACGTTAATGAATATCTGCACAGCCACGACGCTCCCAAGTGTCTTTTTTTGACATAGTAAATGACAGAAAGCTGTGCAGATTTTTCGTTATTTTACATATTGTGCATCTTTTATGAATCTTGGACGCTACCTCAGGCTTCTAGGATTTTTATTCAGTCCCCAGAAAACGTCTTGAGTTCCTTTTTACTACAAAACTATATACTACTGTGTGTTTACAAATCATGGTCCTGAGAATCACCATCTGTCAGGTCTCTACACAACACCTCTGGGTATTAGAATAATGCTTAAATGCGTTCGTTTGGCTTCCTGTTCCTAAACCTTCGCCCTTCAATCCCCCTTGACCGTGTGAGACTCTCCCCATTCTGTGTTTCGTGATCTCCCCGGGCTCTTCCAGTGTGACATCACTCGTGTAGTTGCGAGGCACATGCCATTATCCACATGACGCTCCTGACATTTATCAAAAGTTGAGCCTTGTCAGAGACTACCCCCCCCCGCACACGCACGGTCTGTATTTGCCCTTGCCGCCATAAATCTCCCCAAATAAGCTCTGAATGTGTCACGGCTCCTTCTCTGCGTACGGAGAAGTTGATGCAGGGAATATTGATGAACGGAAACGGAAGTCGGGGGAGAACGTGGAGAATCGATTAGTCACGTTTGAAATGATCCCGGCCTCGACATGTGCTTAATTTGCCAGATTGGACACGGTTTGCAAAGCCAGGCGCGGCGTTTTCTTATCAAAAGTAAATGTCTCGACCTCTAAACGACTTCAGTGAGAAAGCCAAAAAGAGAAACAGAGATGGCGTCATGCACAAGTCCACAAGCGTGTTTGGAAATGGGGATAGAACATGTGACGGCATCTCTCTAGAGCCGGAGAGGAGTCTGTTGGATTCTGTCAATTTTAAGGTGAGAGAAGAGAAGTCCCACGGTCGGGAAAAGTCAGTGTTGCAACGCACATACAGGACAGAACCACATCGGCCAATTCTAAGGACATTTTCGGACCTTGATCCTCCCACCGGGTGAAATTTGATGAGCCCAAAAACGCAGAACTGCAAGATACTGGTGCACATGAAAAGTACAAATCCAAATTCAGCAAAAATACAAGGAAGGAGGACAAGAAGAGAAACAGAAGTGGATACACATGGTTTGAATTCAAGATGAATGAGACACGGGTGACACACATCAGGTAATCAGATAACAGGAAGTACAACGAAAAACACAGGAAGTAAACCTTACCTTAACCATCTTACTCAGACCACCTTAACCCTAACCTTAACCATCTTACTCAGACCACCTTAACCCTAACCTTGAGCATCTTACTCAGACCACCTTAACCCTAACCTTGACCATCTTACTCAGACCACCTTAACCCTAACCTTGACCATCTTACTCAGACCACCTTAACCCTAACCTTAACCCTCTTACTCAAGCCCACCTTAACCCTAACCTTAAAGGACAACTCACCCTCAAATCCACTTTTTTTTGCTGATAAACGGTATAAATGAGTGTCCAATCAGATCTCTTACATCAGAGATCTGATTCAGCCCTATGTCCCCTCTCGTTCTCTGAGGTCTGTAGATAAAAATCTCTTGATGGTTCCTCGCACTCGTTATCGAACCAGAGGAGACCGATCCTTCCAGGCTGTCGCACCTAGACTCTGGAACGATCTCCCGCTCTCTCTACGATCACTTGACTCTGTTGATACATTTAAATCCCAACTCAAGACGTTCTTGTTCAGTCGAGCGTTTTGAAAGTACGGTTTTATGGGCTGATATGACTGTCTCCACTGTTGTTTGATTGTGTAATTTTTTTCTTGTGTTTTTAATTATTGCTTGTTTTTGATGTGAAGCACTTTGTGACCTTCTGTCTGAGAAAGGTGCTATATAAATAAACTTTGCTTGCTTGCTTGCTTGCTTGCTTGTCTACATATCCTGGTCATAATCTTGTCACTTTGGTGCAAATTAGTTGAAAGTTAGACTTTCTGCCTAAAACCGTCTGTGAGGCGCCATCTGCTGGCGACCTGTATTACTACATTTGAATTTTGAATCTGGCGCCAACACTGGCGCGGCAGCAAGACCTGACGTCAGCAAGTTGGACCTGACGTCTGAAGCAAGACCTGACGTCAGCAGCCCCCCGCCCAGAGCAATGTAAACGGCCCAGTCTCGTTCACGCCCCCTTTAGTCCTCCAGGCTACGCCCATTTAGAGGAAGATTTGAACAGGAAATGTGAGTAACGTAAGCTCCGAGGAGCGGGGGTGAGAACCACTTTAACCATCTTACTCAGACCCACCTTAACCCTAACCTTAACCATCTTACTCAGATCCACCTTAACCCTAACATCTTACTCAGACCACCTTAACCCTAACCTTCACCATCTTACTCAGATCCACCTTAACCCTAACCTTCACCATCTTACTCAGACCACCTTAACCCTAACCTTAACCATCTTACTCAGACCACCTAAAACTAACCAGTCACCACTTAAGGACTTATCAGTCTAAAACTAATTCGAAAGTAGGATTGTTGATTCCGGTTTCGTCCAGATTCCGTACATGACCATGACACCCACTCCCTATGGACCAATATCTTCTATCTGTTATTACTGAACTGTTTTTCTCTACAACTACATGTACATGGCATTGAAATGAATCAAACACCTCAATATTGACTGAAAATACTCTTTTAAAGCAGCACAAGGTTAGCTGCTGCTCTGAAAAGCATCCAGACAATACATGGGTTTTGACCTTTTCTGCTCACGTCAAGGCTGCAGTTAATGTGTCTCTGAACTCCATGGCCACGGACTCTGATTGGAGGAGTATCTGTACGCCGGTTATTATCTGGACTCATTAAGACGATAAAGTGATACAAGAGCTCCAGTGCAACACGTGTGAATGTTGAAAATGTCCCTGAGCTTTTGAATCGTGAACTGATGGGGATGGTCAGAAGTGGTCACGTCTAAATGCGCGTTAATGGGAACAAAAACTATCTCGAAAACAAAGAGAGAGAGAGGTGAGGGAGGGGCGAGAGAGGTGAGGAAAAGAGAGAGGTCAGGTAGGGGGAGAGAGGAGAAGGGGAGAGGTGAGGGAAAGAGAAAGGTGAGGGAGAGGGATTGAACTAAGGGAGGGGGAGAGAGAGGTGAGGGAGGGAGAGAAGTCAGGTGAGCGGAGAGAGGAGAGGGGGAGAGGTGAGGGAGGGGGCGAGTTGAGGGAGGTGGAGAAAGAGGTGAGCGGGAGGTGAGGGGGGGGAAGAAGTAGGGAGGTAGAGGTGAGGGAGGTAGAGAGGTGAGGGAGAGACACATGATAAGTGTGGGGGGGTGAGAGGAGAAGGGAGAGTTGAAGGAGGGGGAGAGCGAGGTGAGGGAGGGAGAGAGCTCAGGTGGGGGAGAGAGGAGACGTGAGGGAGGTAGAGAGGCGATGGAGAGACACATAAGTGTGGGGGAGAGAGAGGAGAAGTGAGATTTGAAGGAGGAGGAGAGAGGAGACGTGAGGGAGGTAGAGAGGTGATGGAGAGACACATGATAAGTGTGGGGGGGAGAGAGGAGAAGGGAGAGTTGAAGGAGGAGGAGAGCAAGGTGAGGGAGGGAGAGAGGTCAGGTGGGGGAGAGAGGAGACGTGAGGGAGGTAGAGAGGCGATGGAGAGACACATAAGTGTGGGGGGGGAGAGAGGAGAAGGGAGAGTTGAAGGAGGAGGAGAGCAAGGTGAGGGAGGGAGAGAGGTCAGGTGGGGGAGAGAGGAGACGTGAGGGAGGTAGAGAGGCGATGGAGAGACACATGATAAGTGTGGGGGGGAGAGAGGAGAAGGGAGAGTTGAAGGAGGAGGAGAGCAAGGTGAGGGAGGGAGAGAGGTCAGGTGGGGGAGAGAGGAGACGTGAAGGAGGTAGAGAGGAGATGGAGAGACACATGATAAGTGTGGGGGGGGAGAGAGGAGAAGGGAGAGTTGAAGGAGGAGGAGAGCAAGGTGAGGGAGGGAGAGAGCTCAGGTGGGGGAGAGAGGAGACGTGAGGGAGGTAGAGAGGCGATGGAGAGACACATAAGTGTGGGGGAGAGAGAGGAGAAGTGAGAGTTGAAGGAGGAGGAGAGAGGAGACGTGAGGGAGGTAGAGAGGTGATGGAGAGACACATGATAAGTGTGGGGGGGAGAGAGGAGAAGGGAGAGTTGAAGGAGGGGGAGAGAGAGGTGAGGGAGGGAGGGAGAGAGGTCAGGTGGGGGAGAGAGGAGACGTGAGGGAGGTAGAGAGGAGATGGAGAGACACATGATAAGTGTGGGGGGGAGAGAGGAGAAGGGAGAGTTGAAGGAGGAGGAGAGCAAGGTGAGGGAGGGAGAGAGGTCAAGTGGGGGAGAGAGGAGACGTGAGGGAGGTAGAGAGGCGATGGAGAGACACATAAGTGTGGGGGGGGAGAGAGGAGAAGGGAGAGTTGAAGGAGGAGGAGAGCAAGGTGAGGGAGGGAGAGAGGTCAAGTGGGGGAGAGAGGAGACGTGAGGGAGGTAGAGAGGCGATGGAGAGACACATGATAAGTGTGGGGGGGAGAGAGGAGAAGGGAGAGTTGAAGGAGGAGGAGAGCAAGGTGAGGGAGGGAGAGAGGTCAGGTGGGGGAGAGAGGAGACGTGAAGGAGGTAGAGAGGAGATGGAGAGACACATGATAAGTGTGGGGGAGAGAGGAGAAGGGAGGGAGGTAGAGAGGCGATGGAGGGACACATGATAAGTGTGGGGGGAGAGAGGAGAAGGGAGAGTTGAAGGAGGAGGAGAGCGAGGTGAGGGAGGGAGAGAGCTCAGGTGGGGGAGAGAGGAGACGTGAGGGAGGTAGAGAGGCGATGGAGAGACACATAAGTGTGGGGGGGGAGAGAGGAGAAGGGAGAGTTGAAGGAGGAGGAGAGCAAGGTGAGGGAGGGAGAGAGGTCAGGTGGGGGAGAGAGGAGACGTGAGGGAGGTAGAGAGGCGATGGAGAGACACATGATAAGTGTGGGGGGGAGAGAGGAGAAGGGAGAGTTGAAGGAGGAGGAGAGCAAGGTGAGGGAGGGAGAGAGGTCAGGTGGGGGAGAGAGAGAGACGTGAAGGAGGTAGAGAGGAGATGGAGAGACACATGATAAGTGTGGGGGGGGAGAGAGGAGAAGGGAGAGTTGAAGGAGGAGGAGAGCAAGGTGAGGGAGGGAGAGAGCTCAGGTGGGGGAGAGAGGAGACGTGAGGGAGGTAGAGATGCGATGGAGAGACACATAAGTGTGGGGGAGAGAGAGGAGAAGTGAGAGTTGAAGGAGGAGGAGAGAGGAGACGTGAGGGAGGTAGAGAGGTGATGGAGAGACACATGATAAGTGTGGGGAGAGAGAGGAGAAGGGAGAGTTGAAGGAGGGGGAGAGAGAGGTGAGGGAGGGAGGGAGAGAGGTCAGGTGGGGGAGAGAGGAGACGTGAGGGAGGTAGAGAGGAGATGGAGAGACACATGATAAGTGTGGGGGGAGAGAGGAGAAGGGAGGGAGGTAGAGAGGCGATGGAGGGACACATGATAAGTGTGGGGGAGAGAGAGAAGGGAGAGTTGAAGGAGGAGGAGAGCGAGGTGAGGGAGGGAGAGAGCTCAGGTGGGGGAGAGAGGAGACGTGAGGGAGGTAGAGAGGCGATGGAGAGACACATGATAAGTGTGGGGGGGAGAGAGGAGAAGGGAGAGTTGAAGGAGGAGGAGAGCAAGGTGAGGGAGGGAGAGAGGTCAAGTGGGGGAGAGAGGAGACGTGAGGGAGGTAGAGAGGCGATGGAGAGACACATAAGTGTGGGGGGGGAGAGAGGAGAAGGGAGAGTTGAAGGAGGAGGAGAGCAAGGTGAGGGAGGGAGAGAGGTCAAGTGGGGGAGAGAGGAGACGTGAGGGAGGTAGAGAGGCGATGGAGAGACACATGATAAGTGTGGGGGGGAGAGAGGAGAAGGGAGAGTTGAAGGAGGAGGAGAGCAAGGTGAGGGAGGGAGAGAGGTCAGGTGGGGGAGAGAGGAGACGTGAAGGAGGTAGAGAGGAGATGGAGAGACACATGATAAGTGTGGGGGAGAGAGGAGAAGGGAGGGAGGTAGAGAGGCGATGGAGGGACACATGATAAGTGTGGGGGGAGAGAGAAGGGAGAGTTGAAGGAGGAGGAGAGCGAGGTGAGGGAGGGAGAGAGCTCAGGTGGGGGAGAGAGGAGACGTGAAGGAGGTAGAGAGGTGATGGAGAGACACATGATAAGTGTGGGGGGGAGAGAGGAGAAGGGAGAGTTGAAGGAGGAGGAGAGCAAGGTGAGGGAGGGAGAGAGGTCAAGTGGGGGAGAGAGGAGACGTGAGGGAGGTAGAGAGGCGATGGAGAGACACATAAGTGTGGGGGAGAGAGGAGAAGGGAGGGAGGTAGAGAGGCGATGGAGGGACACATGATAAGTGTGGGGGGAGAGAGGAGAAGGGAGAGTTGAAGGAGGAGGAGAGCGAGGTGAGGGAGGGAGAGAGGTCAGGTGGGGGAGAGAGGAGACGTGAAGGAGGTAGAGAGGTGATGGAGAGACACATGATAAGTGTGGGGGGGAGAGAGGAGAAGGGAGAGTTGAAGGAGGAGGAGAGCAAGGTGAGGGAGGGAGAGAGGTCAAGTGGGGGAGAGAGGAGACGTGAGGGAGGTAGAGAGGCGATGGAGAGACACATAAGTGTGGGGGGGAGAGAGGAGAAGGGAGAGTTGAAGGAGGAGGAGAGCAAGGTGAGGGAGGGAGAGAGGTCAAGTGGGGGAGAGAGGAGACGTGAGGGAGGTAGAGAGGCGATGGAGAGACACATGATAAGTGTGGGGGGGAGAGAGGAGAAGGGAGAGTTGAAGGAGGAGGAGAGCAAGGTGAGGGAGGGAGAGAGGTCAGGTGGGGGAGAGAGGAGACGTGAAGGAGGTAGAGAGGAGATGGAGAGACACATGATAAGTGTGGGGGAGAGAGGAGAAGGGAGGGAGGTAGAGAGGCGATGGAGGGACACATGATAAGTGTGGGGGGAGAGAGGAGAAGGGAGAGTTGAAGGAGGAGGAGAGCGAGGTGAGGGAGGGAGAGAGCTCAGGTGGGGGAGAGAGGAGACGTGAGGGAGGTAGAGAGGCGATGGAGAGACACATATAAGTGTGGGGGGGAGAGGAGAAGGGAGAGTTGAAGGAGGAGGAGAGCAAGGTGAGGGAGGGAGAGAGGTCAGGTGGGGGAGAGAGGAGACGTGAGGGAGGTAGAGAGGCGATGGAGAGACACATGATAAGTGTGGGGGGGAGAGAGAGAAGGGAGGGAGTTGAAGGAGGAGGAGAGCAAGGTGAAGGGAGGGAGAGAGGTCAGGTGGGGGAGAGAGGAGACGTGAAGGAGGTAGAGAGGAGATGGAGAGACACATGATAAGTGTGGGGGGGAGAGAGAGAGAGGGAGAGTTGAAGGAGGAGGAGAGCAATGAGGGAGGGAGAGAGTCAGGTGGGGGAGAGAGGAGACGTGAGGGAGGTGAGAGATGCGATGGAGAGACACATAAGTTGAGGGGGAGAGAGAGAGGAGAAGTGAGAGTTGAAGGAGGGGAGAGAGGAGACGTGAGGGAGGTAGAGAGGTGATGGAGAGACACATGATAAGTGTGGGGGGAGAGAGGAGAAGGGAGAGTTGAAGGAGGGGGAGAGAGAGGTGAGGGAGGGAGGGAGAGAGGTCAGGTGGGGGAGAGAGGAGACGTGAGGGAGGTAGAGAGGAGATGGAGAGACACATGATAAGTGTGGGGGGGAGAGAGGAGAAGGGAGGGAGGTAGAGAGGCGATGGAGGGACACATGATAAGTGTGGGGGGAGAGAGGAGAAGGGAGAGTTGAAGGAGGAGGAGAGCGAGGTGAGGGAGGGAGAGAGCTCAGGTGGGGGAGAGAGGAGACGTGAGGGAGGTAGAGAGGCGATGGAGAGACACATGATAAGTGTGGGGGGGAGAGAGGAGAAGGGAGAGTTGAAGGAGGAGGAGAGCAAGGTGAGGGGGAGAGGTCAAGTGGGGGAGAGAGGAGACGTGAGGGAGGTAGAGAGGCGATGGAGAGACACATAAGTGTGGGGGGGGAGAGAGGAGAAGGGAGAGTTGAAGGAGGAGGAGAGCAAGGTGAGGGAGGGAGAGAGGTCAAGTGGGGGAGAGAGGAGACGTGAGGGAGGTAGAGAGGCGATGGAGAGACACATGATAAGTGTGGGGGGGAGAGAGGAGAAGGGAGAGTTGAAGGAGGAGGAGAGCAAGGTGAGGGAGGGAGAGAGGTCAGGTGGGGGAGAGAGGAGACGTGAAGGAGGTAGAGAGGAGATGGAGAGACACATGATAAGTGTGGGGGAGAGAGGAGAAGGGAGGGAGGTAGAGAGGCGATGGAGGGACACATGATAAGTGTGGGGGGAGAGAGGAGAAGGGAGAGTTGAAGGAGGAGGAGAGCGAGGTGAGGGAGGGAGAGAGCTCAGGTGGGGGAGAGAGGAGACGTGAAGGAGGTAGAGAGGTGATGGAGAGACACATGATAAGTGTGGGGGGGAGAGAGGAGAAGGGAGAGTTGAAGGAGGAGGAGAGCAAGGTGAGGGAGGGAGAGAGGTCAAGTGGGGGAGAGAGGAGACGTGAGGGAGGTAGAGAGGCGATGGAGAGACACATAAGTGTGGGGGAGAGAGGAGAAGGGAGGGAGGTAGAGAGGCGATGGAGGGACACATGATAAGTGTGGGGGGAGAGAGGAGAAGGGAGAGTTGAAGGAGGAGGAGAGCGAGGTGAGGGAGGGAGAGAGGTCAGGTGGGGGAGAGAGGAGACGTGAAGGAGGTAGAGAGGTGATGGAGAGACACATGATAAGTGTGGGGGGGAGAGAGGAGAAGGGAGAGTTGAAGGAGGAGGAGAGCAAGGTGAGGGAGGGAGAGAGGTCAAGTGGGGGAGAGAGGAGACGTGAGGGAGGTAGAGAGGCGATGGAGAGACACATAAGTGTGGGGGGGGAGAGAGGAGAAGGGAGAGTTGAAGGAGGAGGAGAGCAAGGTGAGGGAGGGAGAGAGGTCAAGTGGGGGAGAGAGGAGACGTGAGGGAGGTAGAGAGGCGATGGAGAGACACATGATAAGTGTGGGGGGGAGAGAGGAGAAGGGAGAGTTGAAGGAGGAGGAGAGCAAGGTGAGGGAGGGAGAGAGGTCAGGTGGGGGAGAGAGGAGACGTGAAGGAGGTAGAGAGGAGATGGAGAGACACATGATAAGTGTGGGGGAGAGAGGAGAAGGGAGGGAGGTAGAGAGGCGATGGAGGGACACATGATAAGTGTGGGGGGAGAGAGGAGAAGGGAGAGTTGAAGGAGGAGGAGAGCGAGGTGAGGGAGGGAGAGAGCTCAGGTGGGGGAGAGAGGAGACGTGAGGGAGGTAGAGAGGCGATGGAGAGACACATGATAAGTGTGGGGGGGAGAGAGGAGAAGGGAGAGTTGAAGGAGGAGGAGAGCAAGGTGAGGGAGGGAGAGAGGTCAGGTGGGGGAGAGAGGAGACGTGAAGGAGGTAGAGAGGAGATGGAGAGACACATGATAAGTGTGGGGGGGGAGAGGAGAAGGGAGGGATGTAGAGAGGCGATGGAGGGACACATGATAAGTGTGGGGGGAGAGAGGAGAAGGGAGAGTTGAAGGAGGGGGAGAGCGAGGTGAGGGAGGGAGAGAGCTCAGGTGGGGGAGAGAGGAGACGTGAGGGAGGTAGAGAGGCGATGGAGAGACACATAAGTGTGGGGGAGAGAGAGGAGAAGTGAGAGTTGAAGGAGGAGGAGAGAGGAGATGGAGAGACACATGATAAGTGTGGGGGAGAGAGAGGAGAAGGGAGAGTTGAAGGAGGAGGAGAGCAAGGTGAGGGAGGGAGAGAGCTCAGGTGGGGGAGAGAGGAGACGTGAGGGAGGTAGAGAGGCGATGGAGAGACACATGATAAGTGTGGGGGGGAGAGAGGAGAAGGGAGAGTTGAAGGAGGAGGAGAGCAAGGTGAGGGAGGGAGAGAGGTCAGGTGGGGGAGAGAGGAGACGTGAAGGAGGTAGAGAGGAGATGGAGAGACACATGATAAGTGTGGGGGAGAGAGGAGAAGGGAGGGAGGTAGAGAGGCGATGGAGGGGACACATGATAAGTGTGGGGGGAGAGAGGAGAAGGGAGAGTTGAAGGAGGAGGAGAGCGAGGTGAGGGAGGGAGAGAGCTCAGGTGGGGGAGAGAGGAGACGTGAGGGAGGTAGAGAGGCGATGGAGAGACACATGATAAGTGTGGGGGGAGAGAGGAGAAGGGAGAGTTGAAGGAGGAGGAGAGAGGAGATGGAGAGACACATGATAAGTGTGGGGGAGAGAGAGGAGAAGGGAGAGTTGAAGGAGGAGGAGAGCAAGGTGAGGGAGGGAGAGAGCTCAGGTGGGGGAGAGAGGAGACGTGAGGGAGGTAGAGAGGCGATGGAGAGACACATGATAAGTGTGGGGGGGAGAGAGGAGAAGGGAGAGTTGAAGGAGGAGGAGAGCAAGGTGAGGGAGGGAGAGAGGTCAGGTGGGGGAGAGAGGAGACGTGAAGGAGGTAGAGAGGAGATGGAGAGACACATGATAAGTGTGGGGGAGAGAGAGGAGAAGGGAGAGTTGAAGGAGGAGGAGAGCGAGGTGAGGGAGGGAGAGAGCTCAGGTGGGGGAGAGAGGAGACGTGAGGGAGGTAGAGAGGCGATGGAGAGACACATGATATGTTGGCGGCACGGTGGCTGAGTGGATAGCACTCTCGCCTCTCAGCAAGAAGGTCCTGGGTTCGAATCCCGGCCGGACCAGGGCCTTTCTGAGTGGAGTTTGCATGTTCTCCCCGTGTCTGCGTAGGTTTCCTCCGGGTACTCCGGTTTCCCCAACACTAAAAATATGTACAATAGGTCTGGCATGCGCCTCCTGTACTGGCCCCGCTCCCATCTCTGTGTGGAGTGAGAGACAAGTGCCCAAAAATAACAATTGTAAACCGCTTTGAGACTCTGGTCTGTGAAAGGCGGTATATAAATAAAGATTACTTACTTACTTACTAAGTGTGGGGTAGAGAGAGGAGAAGGGAGAGTTGAATGAGGGGGAGAGAGGTGAGGGAGGGCGAGAGAGATGGGAGGTGAGCAGGCAACACTTTCTGCTCTCACACTGTGTATAATTTTAGCTGCTGACCTTTGGGATCTGGTTTATCCTCTTCTTTCTTTCTGTTTTTGCTGCCGCTCACAAATCTCTCAAATGTTCGACGGCTGCAGCTCTTTTTAATCCTCCATTCAAGAAGTGTGTTGAAAAACTCTGGATATAAACTTTAAATACTTCAAATCCACTCTCTATGGTCATGAGTCATTGGCCCTCATTTATGAAACTTACGCAGAAAAAGGTGTAAACGTTGGGTGAAGATCCCAGAGACCAAGCTCCGACGAGGCGTTTACGATCGTGTGAGATCCGCACAGAGAGTTGAAGGAGGAGGAGCGAGAGAGGAGAAGGGGAGGGAGGTATGGGGATGGAGAGACACATGATAAGTGTGGGGGGAGAGAGGAGAAGGGAGAGTTGAAGGAGGGGGAGAGAGAGGTGAGGGAGAGTTGAAGGAGGGGGAAAGATGTAGGGAGGGAGAGAGGTCAGGTAGGGGGAGAGAGGAGAGGTGAAGGAGGTAGAGAGGAGATGGAGAGACACATAAGTGTGGGGGAGAGAGAGGAGAAGGGAGAGTTGAAGGAGGGGGAGAGAGAGGTGAGGGAGGGAGAGAGCTCAGGTGGGGGAGAGAGGAGACGTAAGGGAGGTAGAGAGGCGATGGAGAGACACATGATAAGTGTGGGGGGGAGAGAGGAGAAGGGAGAGTTGAAGGAGGAGGAGAGAGGAGACGTGAGGGAGGTAGAGAGGTGATGGAGAGACACATAAGTGTGGGGGAGAGAGAGGAGAAGGGAGAGTTGAAGGAGGGGGAGAGCAAGGTGAGGGAGGGAGAGAGGTCAGGTGGGGGAGAGAGGAGACGTAAGGGAGGTAGAGAGGCGATGGAGAGACACATGATAAGTGTGGGGGGGAGAGAGGAGAAGGGAGAGTTGAAGGAGGAGGAGAGAGGAGACGTGAGGGAGGTAGAGAGGCGATGGAGAGACACATGGATAAGTGTGGGGGGCTGTTTGACAAATGCCGCGCTCAAAACCAGCGTATTTATGAAAGTCACGCCTAAAAATATTCAGAAACTGCCTGTTCCACGCCCTGTTTTCACGACAGGTCAGCAGGAAGTCGGCTAAGAAGACTTCTGAGTTTAAAAATAGATATAAGCTATATTATATACGCGTTTTTCTCTAGTGTCTCGACCCACTGCAGCACTCATCTCTCTTGAACTTAAAAATAAATATATAATAATAATAAATGAATGAATGACATCTGTGGCACCTGCTGCGCCGCACTAAGAGAGCTTTACTGCCCGTGAGCCAGTTCCCACAGCAAGATTAGGTGCGTTTATGAGGCTTTATGCACAAAACTAAGGAAAAAACACATTGCTTTGCCAGAGGTGAATGAGACAAAACATATGCGTAATTAAGCAGCGCAGCGTCTGCCACAGATTTACGGAGTTATAGTGAGTAAGTCAAGTGTATTTGTAAAGCGCCTTTCACAGACCAGGACCACAAATAACACACAGATGAAAACAATACACACACAAGTCAGATTTAAAAACGAAGAAACAGAAGACGGTCCTAATGCTTGCGTGTTAGACTTTTTCTGATGTGCAAATTCAAATGAAAACAAGGAAAGAGGAAACATTGGTCAAAAACGGCTAAAATTTGCTAAATATATCTCAGTTTGAGCACATTTTGACGGCCTTAAAACAAAATGGGACAAAGTAAAACGCTCTTGTTTTGAAGTCATGGCAACGCGCCCGTCTGTCCCCGACACCACACACAAAGAGAAATCAGGCCAAAACAATCCAACACGCTGGATATCCTGATTGGAGATCGGAGCAGTCCCGAAGACCTTCCGAGCGACGCAGTCTTAACCACACATGGAAAATACATCAGATTTTGTTTACGAAAATCGGAGTTTTTAAGATTGTCGTTAGGGGTAAACCGGGTCTTAAATCGGCCTAATTATCCTGCCGTGTGAAGCAGGCTTAAGATAACAACCTTCCTAAACTACCATTTTTACTCTAGTCTCTTTGGAACACTGTTATCTCCCATGTACTCAACCCTTTCCGTGAAGTTTAGCAATACCATTTCCTCACCCGTGTTCACAGTAGCAGATGAATCGCTCGAGTAATTCTTCGAGCCCCTACGAATCTCAATCCATAACTCGTGTTGATACGTTGACATCTTGATCTTTCCCCTCTCTCCTCTACAAACAAACACTCCACACGACTGTATACTGCGTCTCTGGGGCGCCTCCACGACCAGTGACGTCTCAATCGGCGAGAAATGCCAGCTCCGGTGATGGCTTTGCTGAACTGAACTGAACATCACCTCCAGTATCTGACCATGCACCGGTCTCGGCCGGTTCTTCTGCCGACGCTGGGGGCCGGTTATTGATTTTGAATTATGAGCGCGTAGGTGATTTTGGTATGAAACGCCAACAGAATATTGAGCAGACCCCGAGGACTGTGGCAAAAAAACACAACAGGAGAAGCCAGAGACAAGACGCTTGATTTAGAGATTTACAGAGAAACTCAAAAGAAGTTGCTGTTCTAGAAATAGCTTACTATAGGTACTTTATGGGTCCTAAGAGATAGACACGTATTCATTATAAGGGCAACAGACAGCTATAATATCGCACTAAGCATCAATAATACATCTGTAAAACCAATATTAACTCATGAATAAATCAAAAATGGATTCTGCACTTTACCCAAAAGGAAGTAATTATCTTTTTGAGAGGTTTTTTGAGTCCATGCTTCACCGCTGAAACCAAGAGTGAACAAAAGACCCATCTCCATCTGAACCAAATCAAGTCCTGAGTGAAATTTGTGACTCCAGGCTTAATTTACGCTTTCTTACATAACTTTGATATTCTAAAAACAGCCCATTGTGACCTGGACGCACAGTACTTTGACACAAATACAGAACCAAAATACTTTACATACTGTCGGTACAGTAGACTAAAAAAAGACACTAAAAATACTGGGACGACAGAAGGGTGTCTCATATTTTCAGGAAGACTGCTCCAGATTCTCGCTGCTTCAATGTGTTTATCCATGTTTTAGTCCTGACCCCGAGCTTCAGCGGGAGAAAACGTTCAGATCAAATGGTTTTGTGGCCTTTTATTAATGAATGATAACTATATTAGTCCCACGAGGGGGAACAAAATGAACGATACACATATACAATGGATTAAGGGGAAGAAGAAGATGGATGGACATATACGGCTCACTCTGCACTAAACTTACCATTGCTCGATCTAACTTCAAGCGACAATGAATTAAATGTATGAAATAATATTGTCTTTACCTAAACATTTTTTATACATTTTTTAACTCATAAACTGCCAATGACGTGTTTGTCTGATACCTGTGATTTCTGTAAAACTTCCCTCTATCCAACTGGTGATCACAGGAGAACAAAACCAGCTAGAAACAAACTTACTTTTGCTGCTGAAAGACGACAGTTCAGTCTTTCAGAATCTGGTTTCATTTTTCCCATGGTTATAACACATGAGATTCTGTGGGTCTTTTAAAATGAGCAAAATCATCAAAAACGGCCGGCAGTCAATGAGTTAACTCATTGACTGCCGGCCGTTTTTGTAGCCTACATATATGGCAAAAAAGTATTTAGTCAGCCACCGATTGTGCAAGTTCTCCTGCTTAAAATAATGACAGAGGTCTGTAATTTTCATCATAGGTTCACTTCAACTGTGAGAGACAGAATGTGAAAAAAAAAATCCAGGAATTCACATTGTAGGATTTGTAAAGAATTTATTTGTAAATTATGGTGGAAAATAAGTATTTGGTCACTTCAAACAAGGAAGATCTTTGTCTCTCACAGTTGAAGTGAACCTATGATGACAATTACAGACCTCTGTCATTGTTTTAAGCGGGAGAACTTGCACAATCGGTGGCTGACTAAATACTTTTTTGCCCCACTGTAGATAGTATAATCTCAGAAGGACAGCCCACTGATGACTGCTGCCGTTGTGTCCTTGGGCAAGACACTTAACCACCACTTTGCCCAAAGCCCCCGGTGAAAGATCTCAGCTCCTGTGGACTCTCCACCTACAGGAGGATCAGTGAGGGGCTGGTGCTCTGTGAACTGGGTGCAGCTCTGACTGCCACCCCCCCCAACCCAGAAATGGATTAAGGGGAAGAAGATGGATGGACAGCAAAAACGGTTTCAACAAAAATGGATGCCTTTCAAAAAAAAATTATTGAACTTTGGGACATATTTGTTACATTTAGGACATGTCGTGTTGGAGGCTTTGTGAACGGAAGAATGAACAGGACAGAAAAGGCTTAATGGTTGGAGATATAACTATAATCAATATGTAATTATAGATTTGACATTATGCAAACAAAAAACATTCAATAACTGCGGACAAACTGGGCGTTTTGGACGTAACAATCATGTCCACTTTTGTTACGTCCAAAACGGCTGTTGTGGAGCGCTGTTAATAATACGGGCGTGAACGAATCTGTGTTTAAGTAGAGCGCCCTCTACTGGACTGAGTGAGCCATATAACCAATCTCTGCAGTCTCTCAGTCTGCACCGTGTTATTAGCCGGAAATAGACATTAACATATTCAA